TAAACCCATTACATAGAAGTTGCTAGATTTCTCTGTCTAGAAGTTGCTAGATTTCTCTGTCTTGATCCTTGTTAATTTCAATCTGAATCTCACCCATTTCTCAATCCATCTTCACTCCCTAATATTCGCCTCCCGTCTCGCACAGCTATTACCCATCTTCATCCTAACCCATGTATTCGTCATTTAATTACTTTCATGTTTTCTGCTTCACATATCCTTGCGGGCAAAAACAGCGTAATGGGTCTGAATATTAATAAGCCAACAAAGGTAATGAAGAATTTATATAGCCTGAGGTTCTACGGTGCGTATGTGGTTTTTTTCCGAAATTTTTTTTTGCGAAAGTAAGGTCCGAGCAAATCAGAAATATTATATAGTATCTATCTATGTAAATATCTGTTTCAACAGCGCACTGGTCAATAGGATGACATTGTGTCAAGCTCGGTGTATCCTGTAGTATCGCCTTTATTACATGTTTATTGGCGCACAAGGAAAAGACACCAAAACATCTGTTTAATATCCAAGCAAGTCCGTACCCACTTCCTTAACACACTCTGTGATATTTCTAGCATTAATATTTGCCAGACACTCGTATTTATTGATGCTACTGGTTCTGGTTCTAACAGGACAATTCTTCTACCCGCTATAACGAAGAACTGTGGAATCGAAACGGCTTTCTTAGCTAATTGAGAAGGATTTAATCCTAAACTAAAGTCTCAGGCATTCGTAAAAATTTTTAAATTATAATATTTAATTTTTTTTTATTTTTTATTTTTTTGTGGAAAATCTGTGGACCTAATTTTTTTACTTTAAATCTTTCTAAATTTGTTTATCCCATGTTATTTAAATTATTCCACGCTACATACATATAATATCCTGTCTAATTTTAACCTATAGGTATTTTGATCTACGAACTACTACAACATTTTTGTTTATTTTTTACTATTTATTTTAGACTACCCCGTAACCACATCCATACCCACTTTTCACTTTTAATGACTTGAAAGGCTGTAGAAATTTATAGCTGCACACAGAGGTTTAGATTTTCCAACTAAATGCAAACCACTTAATGTCAAAATGTCTACACATTCACGTGCTTAAGTAATTATTTTAATATACACATACATACATATATGTAAGTGTATGCAAAATATACCAACAACCAAATATACGCACATATATGTAAAACACACTTCCGGCTTAACTTTGACTTGAATCATTTTTTTTTATTATTTGCCTTCAGCATACATTTTTCATGTTTTTCTTTTGTTTTTGTGCGATGGCAACACTACAATCTACTCATAAAAAGGTAATTGAAGTTGTCACATGTGGCAGCGCTTGTTACGATACGTATGGGTGTGGGTGTGGGTGTGAGTGTGAGTGTGAGTGTAGAGAAGGGTGGATATTTGTGGCACATAATTTTGCACCCTTCAACTATGGGGAGTTAAGTATGCAAATACGCATACATGATGGTGTGTATAGTTGGGTAGTTATGGGGTACATTAACCTTATTAACAGCTCTTAATGATTAAAGTGAGATACAGAAATATGGATTTATGAATGAAACTTGTTATTTACTTTGTGAAAGACTGATTTGATGTTTTCAAAGTTAATATTTGTTTTAATTAAAATATATTTTTTTTATTTTTAATTTTTTCATTTTAAAAAACAGACCACTTTAACATGCATTATTGCTTTTTTAATATTAAATAATAATAATTTATATATTATTTTATACTTTTATTCACAATTCAATGTGTGGTACTGTATATTATGACCTCTTCAATGAACAAATCAAGTGCTTTATATCATAAAAATGGTTTGTGCTAAACGCAGATGGTAGACTCCTATTCTAATGTTTGATTTTGGTGCATCTTTTTTTACAGCAATAGTCTGCACCATTAAAGTTATACTATATATTCGCTAGTTAAGATAAATTCACAATGTGTTACGATAGCCTATATATCCTACTAGCAACCCTTTATCTGTATTACATGAGCATGATAATCCTTAAGTGAAGGGTTCTGATTTTGTCTCAGCTAGGAGTACTATTGAGCGCAATAGTATTCGTTATTTAGTATATTATTTATAGTATATTATTTATATTTATTTTAACATTATAATGAATCAAGTTAACAGATCTTTTAAAATCATCCAAAATTCTTGCAAACTGCTCTTACATCACATTTTAACTTCCACTATTATTGACACCATAAATGTCTGGGCTTCAAATTTGACATGGCACGAGATCGATTCCTGGTACTTGCAGTCCAATACCACTGATGATGGGTATTTAGCAATACTTAAAACAGCCGTATGGTCAGCTAAAAATTCAATTGATTAAAATAATATATAAAAAAAAAATTTGTTGTTGTAGTTCACTACCTTTGGAAACCTCTCTATATTACTTTTTTAAAAATAAATAAATAAATACATAAAAATTAATTACTTTCTTCTAAAATATTTTTTTTAACTTTTAGTATGCTATCTTAGCAAAAACTGTTATAAGTTAATTACCCTTATTCTCTAAAACTCCACCTCTGAAAGCATTATCTACAAAACTTACCTTAACAGTAATGTCATCCATAAATTTCCTCTCCCAAGTGACCAGCACAAAAAGCTTTTTATACCATTTAACATTTCATTTTCTGAACTACTGTTACTACCACCTAACCCTTAAAGTTCTTAACTAATATCTAACATTTTCGTATACCATACCTGTTTTAGCATAATTTTTCCTAATTATTCTTGCTTTGTGGCATTGTGCACTTTATTTTCCAGATGTTTTAAAATCATTATGTGATATTGCACGCTCCTTTATTTTTGATACTGTGGAAAGCAACATAAAATCATAAAGCAGAAGAAATGTAAATAATATTTATAAATCGCCCACCCACAGTCCAAGTGTCTCAAGAGTATGAAAGTGCTACTGCATTAATTATGCAGCAAAGTTGAATATGAGCTCCGGCAATGGTTCGAGTCGGGTTCGAGTCGTAAGTACTACGTACTTCCGCCAGCCGTGAAACAGTGGTAACGGAAATATTTTTTTGCCCCATGACAATAACATGTAAATGACATAATACGGAAAAGTTAAAGATTAAATTTTTTTAAAAGAGAACAAATAAATTATAATTACATAAATGTTAGAGAACTACTTGATTTTTGTTTCTTATTTTATGAAAAGTTTAATAAAAATTATAAATTTATAAATTTTACTTTAAAACTTATAGTCATCAATAATAAAACTTTTGTAATTAATAATTATAAGATACAAAAAGAAAAATTGAAGACTTACTACAATACTAAGTTAACTTCTCTTATTCCATATAATTTCTAAAGAAAAAGAAGAAGAAAAATTAATAATAAAGTTTTCTTTATTAGTTTTTCTTTATGCTTCACTTCGATAATTTAAAATCTTATATCTTATTCAACTGAAAGCATCTCCAGAAAATTATGCAAATTTCTATCAGCTTTGAGCTGTCAATTCAATCTATACAAACACCTTCGCAACTTTAAAATCGAATTACTTCAAGCAACTTTGGCAGCACCAAAATGCTGCTCTGCTTCTTACGATAACGTTGGTTGCATTACCATTAAAAGTCTATCTTTACATTCCTTCTGCAAGTACGAGTACGAGCCTCAGTACTTTTACATATCGTACTGGGGTATGCTTTAGTAATAATGTTTCTATGTAGGTGTTTGAGTGCTTTTTGCATCAGTAACTGCTACAAAACAGCATTTAAGTATTCACAAAGTTGCCACAATTTTCTATTCCTACTCTTCACTGTTCTTGTTCTTTTTCTTTATATTTCCTTCTTTTATTATTATTTTTTTTTTTGGCATCACACCAAAAAATTCTTCTTAGATTGCTCGATATTGCATTTGTCTAACCTGAAGCGCTATCGATGCGCTATTAAAAAGCTGTTAGTATAAAAGTACTTAACCGAAATAGGTAACGTATATAGTTTGGATTGTTGTTGTTCGTTCGCTTTGGATTTAGAATATCTTAAATTCTCAAAGTAAATATATCAAAATTAGTTACAGTTCAAATGTGGTTCAACAGCAGCCTTCGAGCATTGTATAGTTTAAATAAAATAAGTTATCGTTGAGATGATTTCAAAGTGCAATTACTTTAAATTACAATATAGACTCATGTATATATGTAAACTATTCATGGAAGGAATGATTTGTGAAGGAATGTCTTATTCAAAAATACTATATATAGAAATTGCTATCTGCAAAAGAAATATATAATCCTAATAATTATTGTTATTATTGCTCAGGTATTATTTTCCAATTTATAAAGAAACTATGAGGTCAAAAATGTATAGAAGAAATAAGGACGGATTAGGGCATTAATTCCATTGAAAAATAAAAATATTATTTATTAAAATATGCGTTTTACATATTACATTTGTGCTAAAACATAATTCAAATGATGATCATCCGTTTATCGAACTCGTATATGTGCAGTCGCAGCAGTTATCGGATTCACGAAATCTTGATGACTTTTCGTCATTATCGTTTAATATTAAGGTGACCGTAAGCTTATTCTATTCAGCGAACTGAGAAGATTTTGATGTCCGGTTTTATCAGATAATGTGAAACAGACCTAATGGAAGAACAGAACAATGTCTATCTCTGCAGCAGACAACTACTATATATTTTGTAGAAAATTTTATATGCTTCTCAATCTTTCGATAACTGTTGCATGAATGTTATATGAGAATATTCTACAAATATAATCCTTTGTTCATTTCAACGGCTTTGCTAGTAAAATACTTCCGCCACTTACTATATAGTAGGCCTGATTACTATCACAACTTTTTATAATGTTGCATATTAATTTATGATGATTTGATTATATTAATCATAATAATGCTACATATAATCAAATGTAAAATTGAATAAATTAAACTATAATAGAAGTAAATTTATATAATATAGAAGTATTCCTCTTATTTCAATAAAAATATTTAATATACATTTCTTTTTATTTTCAGGAACTAAAAGAGAGTTTCAACTATGGACTTTTTTGTCCACCATCAAATGGTAAGGCAGGCAAATTTCTAGATGAAGAACGTCGTTTAGGAGATTATCCATTCAATGGACCCGTCGGATATTTAGAGGTAAGCAAAGAATATTTAAAAACTATTTTAAGTAATATGAACTTGATAAATATAGTATTAATATAGTGTTTATAATATATAATATATATTAATTTTTATTATATATATTATTAATATTGTAATATTAACAAAACTAATAACTTGAAGCAAAATTTTTAAAACATTAAAATTGTTTTAGTTAATACGATATTACGTATATATATATATAAAAAATGAACGTTGACTTTTAAGGGAATAAAAATATTTTATGATTTTGAAAAAGCTAAATAAACGTTTTTAAATGTTAGAAGAGTTCGAATAGAAATGGAAAGACAACAACAGAAATTTTAGTTAAATTATTGAAATTTGGCTTTTTTGAGTATTGACAGGTACTCATCATAATGATGATCCATAATTCATGAATAGCATGAATTATTAGAGTCAGCAAAACTCTAATAAATTAATTAAATTTTTTGTTGTTGTCTTTTTATTCCTATTCGAATCCTTCTAACTTTAAAATAGTTTCTTTTCGTCACCAGACTTCGACGTCACTTTTGTCAAAAAAAGTACATTAAACTTCTTTTGCTCTCTTGAAAAAATCCTAAGATTTTGTTTTTTTTCGAAGAATCTCTAATTTACGTGTATCAAAAAATTAAAATCTTCTGTCAAATATTTTAATAATTCAAGGGTATATAAATAGAAATATATAAACTTCTTATGAAGATTTGGGCCGATTCCAAAAATTTAATACATTCCAAACAGATCAGTCTAATCAGCAACTAAAATGTTGAAAGAGAACCAACAGGTGTTATAAAATTGATGAATAGCCTCTAACTGCCTGCTAAGCTATAGCTGTTTCTGGAATAAAGCAATATATATTATTGGTCGCGGTGTATAATTGTGTATTCTAAAGATAATAAAATTCTTTTAGTAGTTCATAAATCTACGAGACAGACTGAAGATACATTCCTTAAACCAATAACAAACCTTTGATGTTTTATTATCATAATAAATCTTTTATATTGATCAATATATATCTTTGTAAAACCAATATATTATCTTACCGCTTTGGTAACAGCCAAGTTAAGAGCTTGAATAGAAAGAAGCATCTCCTGCATTATGACGTTTGCTTGGATAATTTACACACTTAATTTATGAAATCAATCTGTTTTATAATCTTATATGGTGATAAAATTCTGTATCAAATATCTCCATCTTCTGCATATTTGCCATTTGGTTAGAAGAGATGACGTTGTATATCAAATTTATAATATCAACCTGTTTAATTTTTCTGAGAAGAAATTGTGAACCAATGGATCATATCAAGCATTTATGCTATTTGATTAGGGAAGCACTGTATACAAAATTTATTATAGTCTAATCTATGTTCTTGTAACATATAGTGATAAAATTGTGTTTATTTTTTACTTTAGCTTAAATACAAACGTCGCGTCTATAAAATGCTTAATCTGGATGAAAGACAATTGAAGGCATTGCACACACGCGCAAATTTACGTAGATTTTTGGAATGCATTAATGGGGGTCACGTAGAGAAGATAGCGAAAATGTGTGCTAAAGGGCTGGACCCAAATTTTCATTGTTCTGAAAGTGGTGAAACGCCGTTAACTGTAGCAACAGGAGCTAAGAAACCAAATAAATTATTAATTGCACTTGTAAATGGTGGTGCATTATTGGACTACCGTACTAAAGATGGCACTACAGCACTCCATAGAGCGGTAGAAAAGGATTCGCTAGAAGCAGTCACGTAAGTCGGAAAGATTAATATTGTTTCTTTTGCTCTATAATATAAAAACAATTTCCTTATCGCGAGTAAATAAATATTACAAAATAATATATTTATTCTAAATACTCTTTATTTATTAAATCAATAATAAATAAATAATTATCAATGTTAATTATTAGAATCTAACATAGATCCTTTGATTATATATAGTGCACTATATAAATAAGTAGGACACTGCATAAAAATTAGCAATTTAATTATTGATTAATTACAAATAAAATATTTAGGGAAAATAAACTTTCTTTAATTATATAAAATAAAATGAAATAAATATATATAAATATTATAGCACTCTCTTGGAACTGGGTGCTTCACCAAATTATAAAGATGGACGTGGCATAACACCACTTTATATATCAATAACACGTAAATGCGAATCGAAAATAACTGAGAGTCTCCTACACGACCATGCAACATTGGGCACGCAGGATAATCAAGGCTGGAATGAAGTTCATCAGGTAAGTAAAGGGAATTCCAGTCTTTAAATGTCGACATAAGTCCTTGAAGACTTATTTAACAATGAAAGGAACAGAGTTATGCAGGAATAATTTGCTTTACATATATAATTGGTATATTTTAATAAATTTAATATATAAAAATATTAATATAAGAAAATTCTAAACAATATTTTGGGCTAAAAAATGAACTAATAATTAATTGGTTTAAATAACAATTAATGAAGGTGTTGGTTTATTAACACACTTTATGCTATATGATATTTATGATTAAAAATATTTTTTTTTTGAATAATGTAGTTATCTTTCTTATGCCTATAATATTGTTTACTTAGCTGTAAGTATTCCTCTATACGCTCTGTACCTTCTGAACTATTCATGAAATCTAAAAACTTTAACTATTAGTACATAGCGAGAGATTAAAATTATTTACTCTACTTACTACTCTATAAAAACGTATTAATATTAGGCCTGCCGACATGGTCTTGTCCAGCATTTGGAACATTTATTGTTTTATGGTGCGGACATGGATGGCCGTAACGCTTCGGGTAATACACCATTGCATGTATGCGCTGTTAACAACCAAGAGGCTTGTGCTAGAATGCTTCTATTTCGTGGTGCCCAACGTGGTGCGCTCAATTATGCCAATCAAACTCCCTATCAGGTACTTACTATATACGATATAAGATAACAAATTTGAAAGAGAATAACAAGTTCTGGACTTTGTTTTCTTTTGTTTCAGTAACTTAGTTCTTAAAAGTGTAACTTAATTTGCTTAAAAATGTAGAAATCTGTAAATTTTGTAGATAAAATTGGTTTGAAGATTATTTAAACTTATTATTGGTACTATTTTTTTTAATTATAGTAATTTTATATATCCTTTATTTACTTAAAGTTCTGATATTATATACCATATATAATCTCTGTCTTCTTATCTATTTTAATTTCAATTTATAGGTTGCAGTTATTGCCGGTAATCTGGAACTTGCCGAAATGATACAAAATTATAAATCCGATGATGTTGGTAAGTTCCTATTGATATTATGTGGTCGTATATGTTTCTGTACTCTTCATCATCCACCACAGACTACATCAATCATAATTGTTGATTTGTTTACAAAATTTAAAAACTTTATTTTTTTTTTTAGTTTTTATAAAGAAAACTTTATTTTATAATCTAATGGGCAAGACAATAGAGTTTAATACCTTCTCATTCAGTAGTACAGTGTTTCTATAACCCTATACCCTATACCTATTACTCTATAAAAAAATATAAACTATTTTCAATGAAAAATTAATTGAGAGGGGAAATAGTTAACATTTCATATTAATTAAAAAAAATTGTAAAAAAAAAAAAGGTCTGTAATTTTCAAGCACTATTCATATCGTTATAAAAAATATATATAGTATAAAGATATAGATATAAAGGTAAAACTGTATCAATTACCACGCTGACTGCCTAAAAGTCCTTTGTATTTCACTACAGCTCTTACTATAAGATGTCCTTCTTCTAATGAGTTGATCTTTTACATAGTGAGATCTGCTACATATCTAACCCAAGAGTTACTCTCGTCATTTCAAGCAATTCATTATCTTAAAGCAATTTATAAGGCTTCAGATATCAATTACTGATAGTTCATAAAAGTCTTTTAGAAAGTGATTTAAATAATTATAACAATAATAATAATTAACTGTATAATTATAATTAAATAATTATGGGAACTTAATAGTTCTTCAGAATAACTTATCTCTGTACGGACATATCCAGGGTTAGGTTGCTAAAAATATAATTTTAGTCCAATTTAACCTAAGTTAATTAGTTTAATAGTTTGTACCTAACCACATTTGTTTCAGTTTGCGGCTTTTTTGAGACAAAAATAGTATATCAACGTTCTACAGAATCTTGATTAATATGTTTATACTATAGAATAACGGATATAACTCATCGCATGCTAGTTCCGCACCTATGAAGTTGCCGGGGTGGTCACTGTGTACGAATATTCAAACAACGGATGCGCTCTTGTACCTACTGTACTAGTTATAATCAAACTATTCGCTATGTTAATTTGTACCTGTGTTAACTACTTTTTTTTTTAAACAATAAGGACTATTTATACTTAGTTAACTAATAAACTGTCTTGCCCATTTTATTATAACACATCCATGTTTACAAAAAAAATATTAAAATGTTTTAAATTATTAATAATTTCTTTTAGTTGTTCCTTCCACCGATATTCGTCGTTTTGTTGCATTTATTTCGTTTCTAAAATTTTTTAAGGATAATTATATGCATCATATAACTTCAAACCTGAATTCATACTCGAAATTTATACCCTCTTACATCCTCTACTCAATCTATTTATCATAATTCTATTTAAAAAATTTTTTTAATAATTTTCTATTAACTATTAGTTTTTTATATACATTTTACTAGTTACATCGCATTTAAATAGCTATTAGTCCGCCATTTTACTTAAGTTTGTCCTCGTACAGTTTTTAATCATCTAAATCGTACATCAATCAAATCCTAAGAACATAGCATAATAGCTAAGCCAAATTCTTTATTCGATTTATTTTTCCATAACTTCTTCATTCCAGAGCATTATTTCAATACACAATATATTATCGCAAAAAAAAAATAAATTATATGAAAACATATTATTTAAATGTTTGCATTTGCTCGTACAAATGTTAATTATATTTTTCATTAATATATTAAATTTTTTAGCCACATTTAAATATCATAAAATATATTTACTATATATACTCGTACATTATATAGCATCTTTAGCTGTTATTTGTTCATTTTTAACTGTTACTCGTTACTCGTTAATTGTTATTCGTTATTCGTTCGTTTAAAAATACTTTGCTTTGTTTGAATGTTATGTTCTGATTTTGTGCTAATGTCTTATCATAAAAATTATTTTATATATAATCAATCATTCATATAAATATTAAATATAATATATTATTAGTCTTATAAATTTTGGTATTCTCACTCGCTAGTCCCTGCATCTAAACGTAAGTAAAATGCTGTATACAATACAATGCTTGGAATAAGAGTGTGTGTTTAAAAGATTTGAAATGAAATTAAAATATAAACATGGATGAATAGATAAAGACATATATATACATATACATATATATACACACATATATATTATTATTTAGACAGATCTATTCTATTAAATTTCCACTTATTCTTGATATTTTTCCTAAATTATTCAGTTTATTTTTGTTTACCATAGTAAACTTTTTTGTTATAAAAATAAATATTATTCTTATTAAATTTAATAAATTTTGCACTATAATTTATATATAATAGTCATTCCTATATACAAATGACTTTAGTTTAAATTGGACAAACGATGACTACTGTTATAGCAGTCGTCACTACCCCAACTTTCATGAAGATGGTTAGTTAGCTAGTCTAAAGTTCTTTTTTCACATTTGTCTGTTCATTTTATTAAAACGACTCAGTGGTTTTCTGGTTAAAAATAGGTATCCTTGATTATGTTCCTAAAAACATCTGAAGCCTAATATCCATGTCACAATGTGCCCAGTTTTTGGATCCAGTTTCTTGCGAAGCTGTCTGCTACTGGCATCCATTACCAATCGTCTGTGAAGTGAATCTAGTTGCGAAATTCTCAACAGGGCCAACTATTTTCAATTTTTGAGACTACTACATCTTCTTTGATTTAAAAAAAAATTTGTAACTACTAACATTTATATTTTTTTAATTTTATCCAACTTAATAAATTCTTTTTAAAATTTTCTCCATATTATACTCCATATTTTAATTAAAAACAAATTTTAAGCAAGTATGTATTGGCTATTATTACTTATGACCTCCTAACATTTTTCTGTTAGCTTCATAGTTCCATCAGTAAAGAACTTATATATAACTTATCGGCTAAAAAGTTGGCCAAACGATTTTCAGCGGCTCTTTGAGCGGTCAATTTTTTAACATAAAGAGAATTTTGCGGAAACCGAAACAAATGTTAGTCAATTGGTGCAAACTCCAGACTTACAACAAAATTTTCCAATAAAGTTCTGTCAGCACAGATGTGGATAATTTCATATCTACCAGTAGAAGATGTGCATCATGAAATTAAATTCCTTGTTTGTCGCTCGCATAGTTTTCGCTAAAAAAATTGATAGCTAACACCTAGTCCTTATAGTATTATGCATCCGCATCCCTTCGCTTTCTTTTACTTTCACTTGCTTGATCTATTTGGGACATCACTATTTGGCAACGCATTCTTATAGAGCACGCATTTCTGAACAATATTTTTTACTATGCTATATGTCGATAAAAGACAATTCTTAAGACGTCATGAACATGGGTTTGCTTTTTTTGCGAATATATGGCTCTAGTAACAACTAACTTTCACACGCTTCATTCTATATTCTACGATGAGCTAAAAGAACGTCTTATTAATATATCGGGAAACGATTTTTTATGATATTCTATATTTTCCCAAATTACTTCATAATATAGAATAAACGTAATAACATATTTTTTTCTCTATTTTAAGCGATGATTTTTTCGGTGTAGCTAAAAATTTTAAGTAACTACTATTGTTGCCTACTTTTCCCAATAGTATTTCCAATTTAATCATTGCACTTGACAAATATTATTTCCTCTAATTGCCCAAAATCTATTTTTTGTGAAGTTTTTCCTATGGCGCTTTCGATTCGTAAATCTGGAGTAATTTTTCAATTGAGATTAATGCACTTTTAGTACAATTTCATTTTCGATTGCTAAATCTGAGATTAATTTATAACACTCCAGATTTTTTGCCTGAATAGCGAAATTACCATAAAATAACAGCTATTTTATGTGAATAATACAAATGTCTACTAATACTGCTACAAAAATGTTAGCTTACTCGCAAAATATTCGATTCGGCAACAAAATTTGACAAATCGAAAATAAATCTAAATTGAATCCAGATATACCAATCAAAAACGTCATTATTTTCGAGATTCTAAATTCTACAATCATTAAAAAATATCTTTTACGTCCATAAATTGCTAACATCATACCCATAACATCCCTGTGCTCTCAATACCCCATAGTGAAAACTTTTTAGTTTAACACATTAACCAAATTTGGTTCAGTATAACAGTTATTGATATTGATAATAAGCATTTAATATTAATTTTTTATTCGAATTTTTATCTATGGCAAGCCAAGCCTTAAATTAAATTTATTATTTTTATTATTATTTATTATAATATCCTAATTATTAATAGATTGAGTAGAGCAATTATTGTTTTGTCACAAATTTTAATATCAAAATTTATGGAAAAAATTTATAAAACATTTAATTAAAATATTAAGTATATAATAAACGAAAATGCACTAAAAAGATGACAGGACAAGCGTGTATTTTTAAATTTCCTTAAAGTACTAAATGCAACAACAACAGGAATAAAAGCAATTTTCGTCCTTTCGCTTAAATTTTGTAAACTGAAATCAACAAAATTACATTTTGTATAACACAAATTTAGCATTCTTCATCGTTCCTTTCATACTCCCATCTAAAAATACTCCTACAAAAGGAGCAAATAAAACCTGTCTCATACATAACCTCGTTGAAGTGCATTTTGGCACAAGCAGAGCATATACGTTGCATAACAATTATATTGGAAAATTATTATTTGAATTTACCAAAACACGTATTCCTCTTCTTTTTCCCATGCCAAAAAACAAATTCCATTAAATAGTGCCCTTTCGCGGACCACCACGTTACAATCCCAAACGACGCTCAGCCATTGGTTGGCTCAGTGCCAATGGTAGTATTGGCGGTGGCAGTCTGATGGGCACATTAACGCGCAATAGTACATGTGGCCATCATGGTCCACCATCGCCTTGCCCATCCGAACATTTACCGTACAGTTCGGCTAGTTCAAGTCTATCAGAGGGATCGTCCGGACATCGTTCACACGAAGATGACATCAGCATTGTAACAGGTATTAAATTTTTGCTATTCTTTTTAAATTAATAAATAGATAATTTGAGATTTATTTATAAAAATAATTTCACATCTGCAATTTATTTATAACTGATAAACTATTAAATATATTTTGTTAAAACTATTTTTTTTTTCGTCTAAAAACAGTAAATTTTTATCTATCACTGTTTTTTATAGTATGTTCAATCTGAAGTTGAGATCATTATAAATGTCATTTATAATAATAAATGCTATTCACTATAATAAATCATACTTTTAAATTATACTTATCATAATAAATTAAATTTATTATATTAAACGATATTTATTATGATTTAAATTATTATAAATGCAATGTAATTATTGTTAAAGCCTATTAAAAATATTTGAGATATTTAAATAAAAACGCAGGCTTGTAATTGAGGCTTGTATTGAGATATTTTCACAGACTTAATTGGTTTGTGTCAGACCTGAATGGTTTTAACCAGACATAACTATATTATCTACAAAAAGAAGTTAAAAACAACAAAAGTATTTCAATAAGTACAATGAAATATCCATCTGTTTAGCTAAAACACTTAAGACAAAAAATAGTTATATTTTTATTTATTATGTTAATAATTTATTATGTTATATGTTATCATATTAGAAGGTAAAAATTTTTTTGTTCCTGACCTTTGCTCTTTAAAAAGCTTAAAGCAGTATATAGATATATATTTGCATAAATATACGAGTACATACACATGCATATAGTTGAATATATATATATACATATATATATACTCCATAAAATATTTTTTAATGAATATAGAAATAATTGATTATGAAATAGCCAATTAATATTGTTTAGTTCTTTTTAAGAGTATAAGTAAACAATAAAATTTTTAAAAATGAAATTGATATTTCTTATCAATTATAGTATTATTCTTACCTCGTTACCGCATTATTTAATGGCATAGCTAGGTTTTAACCAAGGTTCACATATTTTTTAGTAGTGTATTTGCAGAATATTATTTGTGGATCATATTGTCAAGAAGGAATCTATTTCCTTATTCTCGCTGGATACACTATTGCTTCTGTCCTAGTCAATTTCTGTAAGGACCACAGTCCTTTAACATCCAGTTATTAGAAATTTTACGTGTTATACAGGGAGTCATATCGCAATTGTCAATTTTTTACATTTAATATTTTATTGATATTGGTAGTAAATTACCCTACGTCTATTCTATAATATATATTATTTACATATTTGAACTCCTTAATATTTTTAAACCGAATATACTTTAACGATTGTTAGAACAATAACATTAAGATTTGATTTAAGTCTGTCATGTTATCCAAACTACACGACAATTCTTTAAGACTCTATGTCGATAAACATAATAAACCTAAGTGACAGATCAAATCGATCTTTAAAAATTCAAAATGATTTACTTCTTCAAAAACTTTAATTCGTCTCCTTGTGTCATAGGCATTCCTAAAACGGAACCGTATAACCATATAAAGTAGATTAATTATAACAGTTATTTAAAAACCGCATGTTTTTATTATATTATTTTTTTGTATCGTTACTCTTTCATATTTAAAATTATATATAAAGATCTATTAATATATTACCAGTTATGCATCCTATGTCTTTATAGTTCAAAACTTAAATTATGCATGTTTTTCTGATATATATTACTTTCATAGCTGCAATATAACAATTTTTTTTACTATAGCATTATATTCCTTCAATGTTATATCATTTTTTCTTTACTGTCATAATATCATAACATTACAGTCATACTGTTTTTGGTACTTTACCAAAAATTTTAACACATAAAATTAAAACATCTACTTCTACCTATTTCTTCTACTCCTTCCTTTAAAATCTCTAATCAAATGATATATATCATGAAATCGTCATCAATCTTTCGATTTTTAATGTATCAACGTTTTCACAATTTTTCACAAAGTGCAACGTCTGCCCTTCCTCACAGATAAGTCACTCGGCGATACAAGCGACATAATAAGCGATTCATCGGGAGTGGGCACAAATTCAGATTCTGCTGCCTGCTCAATAGGTCATCCGAGTACTACAGTTGTTTGCATGGAACCATACACTGGTAATTCCGTCGGTCATATACGTTTACAGCCTGGTGATGTTATTGAAGTGGTCGGTTCCACTGATTGCGGACTACTTGAAGGATATGTACGTGGCTCCAATCAGTCGGGCTTCTTTCCGGCCGAATGTGTACAGGAAGTTAATTTACGTCACAAAAATATAACAAATGTTACTACTGCAATACCACCGAATCAGTCACCTTACCAACAACATTCCGTTTCGCTAACCAGCAGCATGATGCAAGGCTCGCCACAATTGAGTCTCGGCGGTAGTTCAGGCATTGGCGTCTGCAGCAGTGGTGGTGGCACATTGCCACGACCCAACTTATCTCACCATCAGTCACCTTCGTTATCAATGAATAGCAACGGGTCCAACACAGCATTGAATGGTGTACATAATTTTTCAAAAGTGGGCACACATTCAGTTGGTCAATATAGCAGCGCCACAGCTCCTCGTATAAAGAAAACGTAATTATTTTTGTAATAAACGCCTATTATTTATATATAAAACTTTATTTTTCAGTACTTTTAATGAGCCACGTAATGTAGTGCTTCATCGTGCTAAACGCGGTTTTGGATTTATATTACGTGGTGCTAAAGCTTCTTCACCGTTAATGCAGCTGAAACCGTCCGATCGCTTTCCAGCCCTACAATACCTAGATGATGTTGATCCAGGTGGCGTGGCAGATATGGCCGGTCTACGGCGAGGAGATTTCCTACTTGCTATTGGTGGTGAAGATGTGCGTGCTGCATCACATGAGAAAGTTGTGGAAATGATACGCTCCGCTGGTGCGCTAGTTTCTATGACAGTAATTTCACCGCAATTTCCCAATCAAATGCAAGTTGCACCACAGTATTTGCCCAGTCATCATTTATCTAGTGGACCAAGCACACCACAAACTTCGCACAGACAGTGCGCCACTCTACCACGTAAAATGTCTCTAGGTCCTGGTGCTAACAATGTTGTCGGTCATGGTGGACGTTTGCCCGCACCAATGCCACCACGTCGAGATCCTAAAACAACATTAAGTGTTGGACGTGCTCGCGCTAAATCTATGGTTGCTGGCCTAGAAAATGGTGGGGAAAAAGATGATGATGATGTACCACATACCAAATCTTCTTCAGTGGAGTCAATTGTAACACCAACACCAACTCATCCTGGTACACCAGTGCAATTGCGTACTGCCAGTATCAAGGCACGTCCTACCTCCAGCCGCATTACTGCAGCAGAACTAGAAGAACTCTTCCAACGTCAACAGGGTGAAGTAGTTGATGGCGCAAATCGTTATTCAACTATGATGACCACCTCACGCTTCCAATCGGGCACAGATAGTGGGGCAGCCACACCGCCTGCTAATACGGGTTCACCTATGAAAGGTCCCTTGGTTTATGGTAGCGTTGCCGAAATGAAGCGTAAAACTAAAACTAAAAATGGTACATTACGCGGTAAGCCATGTGCTATACCAACCGTTGGTGGACGAGATCTCAAACGTTTCCATTCCACTCCTGATCTTAACACGAATGCAAATGGCTCGAATTCATCTATTTGGAATGCTGCGAATAAAGGACATCACTCACAGGATGATGTGGCTACATTACATGCCTCTATGCAACGCTTAAATACTTTGCCACCACCTACACATCCTCCTCCACCGCCTCCCGTTGGACAAATGGTGAAAGTCGAAACACGTACAACAAGCGAGTATGAAAGCACCATTTCCTTACAGCAGAAACTAAAGAAGCGCGCTGAAAATGATGCAGTCACTGCAGCTGCAATTGATGGTGTGCAGTCCAGTTTTAATCCTGCAGCTAATGCCAAGATTTATGCTTCTCCACAAGAACTGCGTAATGTTATGGCCTGGAAATTACGGCAAACACAAGAGGTAAGTAGTGGTATAGCATTTTTAGGGTTAAATCCAAAAATTAATGAAATTGATTTATACTTACAGAATCGCCAGAATGGTCAGCAGCAATCGCAAAACCATCAAATTAGTCAACAACAACCAAACTCAAATAATGTGACACCGCCGCCACCACCACCGGTTCAACAGCAAACACAACAACTCCAACAGACACAAATTAGTCAATATGCCCAACCGACCAATAGCACAGTAAGTCAAAATCAACAGTCACAACACCAGCACCAGCAGCAACAACAACAGCATCAGTCACCATATGCTGTCACACAGCAGAACGGAAGCTCTACTACTGCTCTACCTGCGGGTCCTGCACCACCAATACCTGAACCAGACTACAGTCTCAGTGAATCTGATGGCGAAGACGAAAATTCTATATTGGTGGCACGTAACACAAAACTAAATGAGAAAATCGCTTTAGATGTGCCTGAAACTAGTGGTAATAGTCAAACCAGGTAAAATATATTATCAATTTTGTTCAGTATTCCTTTTTGATGAATGATTTTTCCTATATCAGTGGCAGCAGCACTGGATCCGCTTCAATTTCGCACTCTCTCTCCGTCGATGAGATTCAACGCATACGCAGCAATCTTAAGACATCGAAGTCTTCTCCAAATGGTTTCATTAAAAATGAAGAAAAATCTGGCAAAGCCACTAATGATAAATCTGGTAAAAGTCAAATAGAGAAGATTAACACAAATGACAATGATGCACATGAAGAAGAAGGCGATAACAGTTCATCTGGAGTAAGTAGTGACCAAGAAGTTGGTGCAACCTCTAAATCAACTGATACAATTAAAAAGAAACCAACTGTTACAATTGTCGAAGAACCGAAAACTATTCCTAACCATCAAAACAGCGTGGATGAAACAGATAAGAGCTCCATGCCAACACCTACAACACCACCAGCGCCGGCTACACCGCCGGCTATAGTCAAATCTCATGCTTCCACCTTACCACATACCATGCCCTCCCCTACTCCGCAAGCCAAATCCACAGTTACGATTACTGCTGCAACTGCCTCAGGCATCTTGTCACCAACATCAATAAGCGTTGCTACAACAGCTGCAGCATTTGAAGCCAAAACAACTGCTGCTTCTACTCTAACAGTCAAACAAATGGTGCAACAACAACATGCACCAGTCATACAACAACAGCAACAACAAATGACAGGCACAAAAGTAAAAACATTGCTGGTACAAAGTCAACAAGTAACAAGCAAATTGCAGCCTAATATGAGTGGACGTTTAACATATACACACCAACAGCACATACAACAACAAATGCAGCCACAACAGCAACATCAACAATCTCAGCATTCACATCCTAATCCCAATCAGAAATTGCTAGCTACACAGCAACATATTATGCAGCAGCAGCAATTACATCAACAACAGCTAGCACATCAGCAACATTTGCAGCAAATCTTAAAGGCAAAAGCTGCTGCTGCAGGTGTCACTGCCACAAATACTGCGGCCATTGTGGCCAAACAGCAACAGCAATTGCATAAAGCGCAACAACAACAACAACCCACCGGTATAGGAAACAATAATAATGCCGAACATGATGAACAACGTTCTGATGATGATGGTGAGCTAAGTCCATCCCCACCGGCCAAAGCATTCCAGCGACACAATTCGCTTACACGCAAGCAAGCAGCAGCAATAGCGATGCAACGTGCCACACGTACCGCTGCCGTTTCGTTGGTGCAGCTACCACCGCCTATTGAAGCTGACAGTGATAACGAAATGTCATTGTCAGCTACAGCAATATCGGCTGTTACAAATGTAACTGGTAATATGCAACAAATATGTCCAGAAAATATTGTATTAGCGCCGCCACCACAATTCTGCGATTGTAATGATGCTAAACATGTGCCACAACAACAGCAACAACATTATCAACAACAACAACAGCAGCAGCAGCAACAGCAACAACAACAGCATCATATACAATTGCAGCAACAACATCAGCAACAGTTGCAATTACAGCAGCAGCAGCAGCGCCAACAACAACAGCAGCAATTGCAAATGCATTCAACGCATATGCATCCTGGTAGTGTGGGTACATTGGGACGTGTACGAATTGTGGGTGCTGTACCAAAATCGAATCACCATCGTCTGCATTAAAATATCTTCTTAACTATATAAAAGTGAAAAGAAGAGTTAGAGAGAGAATGAGAGTAGTATGCGTGGGAAAAGAATTTTATTTGAAGAGAATGAAAAGAGAGAAGAAGAGTTTTTAGAGAGAGATAAAGTATGGAGCTTAAAATTAATTTATGAGATAGTAACAAACTTTAATAGCTTTAACTAAAAGATTTGTAAAAATCTATTTAGCTTTGAGGGAAAATATAACCTTGTTACTTCATTTTAATACTTTTATATTTTTATCCTTTTTAACATCATAACCTTTGAGATCATATGCTCCACAGGGAGTTAACGGAACAAAGAAGAAGAAGAACATCATAACCTATAACTTTTGGCAGGTTATAATGGCAATCCCAAGGATCAATTAATACATATTGGCCCAACTGAATAGTAAAAAATTAAAGTAAAATAGTAAGAATTAAGTAAAGCATAAAATTAAAGATTTTACTTACTATTCACTTCTACTCTACAATTTCTCAATTGTTCTGTAGCCAATACCAAATAAAATAAATTTGAAGATAGATGATAATATATAAATAAAAGTTTAATATTAAGTAAAACATAATGGAGCATAAGATGTATCAGAAATAGAATAAAAAAAGGGGTATTGCGAATATAAGTTGCATGTTATAAACGTGTAGCGTGGTCAGGAGAGGATACATAACAAAATATTTCTTTTGGCTGATTACTAAATTTTGTATAATATAATTAAGGGACTTATACTCCCTATATACGCAACTGATAAGAACAATATATATGGGATATAGATACACTTTAATCTTCAGACCTTATTATAATATAAATTATTATTAACAAACTCTTATTTTTCGCATTGCATCTCTTTTCGATATTGTTATCCCTTAATTATTTGAAAGTACATGAATTATTTTTTTCGAATGAAAATTATTTTAAAAAAATTAACAATAAGAGAACTGAAGAAATAGTTTTGTATTTATTGGTTCTTAGTAGTTCTGTGCATTGTTGTTAACTTAATATGATTTAAACTTATTATATTTAATATAAATTTCTCTAGCTTCTTTGTAGACTTTCTCAAACAACTTCCTCTCTCACTCTCTCTTTCTGTGTCTCTCACGTCATTGAGAGAAAAACTCTACGTCAAAAGTTGAACAATTTAGTAAGATACAATGAATTGTTTAAAATTAAAGAAACAGCAATTATTTATATTACTTAACAATTGCAACTACATAAATTAACAATTAAACTAAACTACATATAATTAATATTGATTAAAAATATTATATTATTAATAGTATTATCAATGTTAATTACTTAAATGGAGGAAATTTATATATGAATAAATCTAAATTAGTAATATTAACTTAATACACATATTATTCATAATTAACACTGAAAATTTAGAGCACGACATTAAGATTTGCAAAAACATAGAATTATAAAAATCATTATCTCATTGTTTTACAAAAAGAAAAAAGTTTATATAAAACGAAGTATTAATATTATTTAATGAATTATTAATCAATTTTGTCAAAGAAAATTTTTTTGCACATTTGATATAGGTCTTATATCAGCACTTTTCTATGTTCTCAATTAAATAGACTCAATTCAATGAAATAGTTATGTACATAATATGAATTTTTTTAAACAACATATGAAGTGTATGAATTATAGTATTCTATAACTTATATAGCAATACTAGTTATTGATAAAAATAAAACATATTCTTGATTGTTTATATTAATGTATAATTTATTAAATGAAACTATTGCGTTTTATTTTAAATTATAGATAAAAATATTTGACATTCACAAAAAAAATTTTTTGCAATAAAATTTATGAAATTTCTTTACGTTATACATTAAAAAATTATATATATAATATAAATAAACTTGAATTATTTCTATGTTATTATAATATAATTAAGTGTGATATATATTTTATATAGAAAGATGAAAATAATATTTAAAATGTAATATAAAAAAAATCTTTATTGCCAAGAAATAACCTATTAAGCAAGAATTTATTATTAAATGCATTCCTATTTAATTTATTAATTAATTTGAAACAAAAGCCTGCTTAAGCGACATTCAGTTAAAAAAAAATATAAATTTTTATATATATTTTAACGAACTTATTTACATATTCTAAAAATCTTCAGACCATACAAGACTATATATTCCTGTATTACTAACTTTCAGTGTAGAAATTTATTATTTAACTCCTGAAAACGGTGATTTTGTTTTTTATTTTTATTTGAAAAAATGTTTTATAAAAAATAATTTTATTATTGCACTTTAAATAATACAAATAGTTATACAAATGGCATGTACTACGCTGTAGTTTATTTCAATATAAACGTCATGAAAACTGTAAAATTTATTTTGAAGTTTTTTTGTAAGATATAATTAAAAAAATATTTTTTTACTCCAATTTTTTTTTTTTAATATATATATTTAATTTTCAATTCTTTATTTATTTTATTTAAAAAAAAAAATTACACAATTATATAATATAAATTTGTGTATATTTATATGCAATCATGTTTTATTTTTTTAATTTTTGAAGAAATGTTTTTAATATTTATTTAAATATTTTCTTAATACACACTTTAATTTTTTTTTTGTTTTTCAAGCTTTTTTAATTTTTTTAAAAAATTTATTTAACATGTTTCCTTAACTTTTACTTTTTAACATTTTTTCTTGATATTTTTTTTTCTTCAAATATTTTTTATAATTTTCCCATTTTTATTTTTTTCTTTTTTGTTTTATTTTTTTATATTGTTTCATAATTTTATTTAATTATTTTAAATAAATAAACGTAACATGCTAACAAAAAAACGGAATGAAAAAAATATTTTTTGGGTTTATTATTATCTATAATTTATCTATATTATTATCCATAAATTTTTCTCTTTTTGTTTTATTTTTTTATAGTGTTTTATAATTTTATTTAATTATTTTAAATAAATAAACGTAACATGCAAACAAAAAAACAGAATAAAAAAAAATATTTTTTGGGTTTATTATTATCTATAATTTAACTTAATTCAAACTTTATGAAATAAGCGTATTCATAATACACACTTCTGTTACATGTTTTGCAAATATATAAAATTATACTAAAATACGCTTAAAAAGAAAAGTGCTGACATTTGCATTAAATATATTTTTTTCACATACTTTATTAATTTTTCAAACTTAAAACAAACTTTCAGTGTCCATCCAATATTAGCATTTACTCATAGAGTCTTATTTGTATAAAAAAAAATATATAATATATATATTTACATTTGAATTAACCGTAAAAATAATTTTTGTTAGTACAATTAGATAAAAACAAAGTTATCACTTAAAAAGTAATAATATTAAAAAAAAGATTATAAAAGCACTAACAACTGAAGTTTAGTAATTAGTATATAAAATTAATTTTCTTGTTAAAACTATTTACAAATTTTTTTTAAACAAAAAAAAAATTAAATGTATTTAAAAAAAAGATAATATGGTATTAGTAAAAACTTTTAATACTTCTTTTATAATTTTACAATTTATTACGAAGCAAAAAGAAAAAATAATATATGTAATGAAATATAAATGAGCAGTTGCAAGTTCGTATTATTAAAAATTTATCGATATATACATAAAATTATATTTAAGGTATAAATAAAAAATAAATAAGAATATTTGCAGTCATTATAATTACACTAAACATGAAGAATGAAATGAATTTAAATTAGTTGATATTTAAAGACATTGTATTGAATTTTTTAGTATATGCCAAACGCTACCAAAATAATTTAAGAAATATATTAGTAAATATGAAACTCTATATGTATGATTTTCTTTGTAAGTACTAAGGCTGAAGTTTCACACCTCTTATAGAAAACGAAAAGTGGTGGCAACTTTTTTTAAAGCATACAATTTTTTTAGCATAAACATTTCAAAATAATCAACATAAAAAGGCACATAAATATTAAAAGTAAAAATTTCATATTTTGCACTTGCAAATTAAGAATTTGAATATATACAAAATATATAAAACATTTTTATTTAAAACAGTTTTAAATTATATTTCGTGCATATAATAGAAATGAATAATACTTAAATATTATGCATATAATGAGTCAAAAACTTTTCGTTATAAATAAATATTTAACACAATATAATTTAGCAAAATATTCATAAACAAAAAATGCAAAACTATCTATACGAATTAAAAAATTTATAAAAAAAAATAATATATATATATATAAACATATATATATGTTATATAAAATTCTTTAATGCCTATAAACTGGCTTAAGTATTAATTAAGGAGCTAATATGTTGCAACAGAATTTATAGCGAAAAATAATATTTCAGAATTAACATTTCAAAATTAACACATTAAATAAATTTTGCAAATGAATTATTATTAACAATTAAGCAAAAAATTTGTACATTTTAAAATTCTATTTTAATTAATTATAATTAATTTTTAAATAATATATGATTTTTTCAACCTCTAGTTAAACCTTTAGAATCTATGCCTTTAAAATTTATGCGCTTATTTCTTATAATTTTAATTCAATATAAATTAATTTGTAGCAAAATTCAATTTAATTGTGTTTACTACTTTAATTATAAATATAATATTAATAAATATTATATTAATATGTATTAAATAAAAATAATTTAAATTTTAATTCACAATTAATATTATTATCATTATTATGTTTGATTTTAAGTTTTATTTAGTTTTCTAAGTATTATTATTAGTGAGTATATTTAATTATTGTATTATTGTATTAGTGAATAGAAAATTATAATTATGTCAAAAATATAAAAAGTAGTATTTAAAATTATGAATAACGCATGCAATATTGATGAATTGTATTAAAATGTTTATTATGAAATTTAATTAATTTTAAACAAAATTAATTATTATTATTTAAATGTACGAATATTAAAACTTAAAATATATACATATATAAAATCAACATTATAACATATTTAATAAAAAGTCAAAGAACGAAGCATAAATATTATAATCATGCATAATGGCATTAAAAATTCAATAAATAAATCTTTGAATTCATACATAAATATTAAATAAAAAATATTAATTACAAAAAAAAATTTTATGTTTTTGTGTTTCTATTATAAATTTAGGAACTGAAAAGTTGTTAATACTTTTATATTAAATTTAATTTTTTAAGTCTACTGTGACTTTTAGCTTTGTCGCCTGTGCCTCAAAAGCATTGGTAGTTATTACTTTCAACTTAACAGTGTAAGGACGGAATTTTGTACAAATTTCCGCCCTACATAAACTTACTAAAATTCTCTGCATAAAAATTATTTAAATACGAACAACACCGCGAACATCCACACGCACGATCAACACCGCGAACATCCACACGCACGATCAACACAGCGAACATCCACACGCACGAAAATTATACTTGTGCGGTTGTGCGTGTAATTAATCAAAGCAAAGTATTTTATATAAATAGCGGAGATTTTTATATGAAAAATCACTTAGCACCGGCACGCCGAAGTGAGTAGACTACTACTCCAGCGCTAAGTCCCTTTTAGAAGCCTATAGTGTTTCGACGCTAAGGCTAAATAAATTCGTAGAAACTTGTGAGTAGATTGTATAACGCCTTTGATGTTTTGACGTCTTTGGCTAGAAACTAAATGAGTAGATTTGGAAAAACAAACCTTTGATGTTCTGACGTCTTTGGATAAAACTTATTGAGTAGAATCAAGACTAGAGTAAATTAGTTAAGAAAACTTTTAATAAATAAATTTTAAAATAATAAAATCAAACGGTCTTTTAACTTTCCTTGGTTTACCAGCTTCGAACTGGTCAATAAAACAAATTTATTGTAATGACCCGGACCGCGACTGAGTGATACCTCAGCAAAATAAAAATGACGAATCCGTGTCGTTACAACAGATACAGAGTTCTAAGTCTTAAACAGGTTTATATTTGCAGGTGTATAAATAGTAGTAATTAACTATTGCTCAAAAATCTTTCTAATGAAAAAAATTATTTGACGATATAATTCTAATATTTGAGGTTCACCATTACTTAATTGGATCATTAACATAAACTTTTATAAGCAACTGTAATATATATGGCATATATACTCTCCAAATCAAGAGAAAACTTAATGATATTATCACAATATGTATTTAAAAATACCTTTCCTTATTGGTATTAAATAAATTCCAGATTTTAATACTATAAGCTTTTTTCTTTATTATTTTTTTTTTCATTCTTACATTATATATACATATATATATAAATACATGTGAGTACATATTTTTAATATAACAATTTAAAGATTAAGTTTTTTGTATAACAAAAATAACGTTCACAGGCATACATTTTTTTCAAAATTATTACAAAGCCCTTGATTTTCATTCTTAAATGAAATTTTAATTGTATTTATATTTTTTTAATATTAAAATTTAAATTGTATTTACTGTATTTACTTATATTACAAAAAAAATATTTTAAAAAGATATTTTTATAAGTAAATTTTAAAGCGAAAATGATCAAAAACAAAATCATCAAAACAACTGTTGCAGTTATCATTATAATAATAATAATAATAATAGAGATAAACTGAAACAGCCTAACCCACAAATTTAATTTGTGTATATTAAATAATAAAGAAACTTTTTTTTTTATAATGCTTTTTTACACTCAATCCAATTTCGCAGATGGATTGACTGGATTCAATGTAATTATCTTTGGAGACGTTTGTATAGCAGTGGTACCAACATTTGAATTCATTTCGCTTCCTCCATCTTGCAGTAATGGTGCTATGTTTGAGTTTGACGAAGTACTTGTTGAATTGATGACATTTATACTAGAAGTTATTTTCGGATTAATTCCTCCTGTTAATGGTTTAACGAATTTACGTACAACTAAATTACGATTTATCAATTGTGTATTCATATTTGCAGGCATCGGTTTAATCGCTGATTTAATGACAATATTACGTACATTTTCACCATTGCCTGTAGCTAGTACAGTACCACTGTTAGCCGTGCTTATAATTTTATATTGCGGAGTTATCTTAGAACCAATATTAACAATTCTAGAACCACTTCCTAAAGTTTTTATAGGTTGTATATTAACCTGTTTAACTGCCGATGAAATGGGTGTTATTGTGTGATTTGTACCACCTATTTGCGTGATTTGCGTGTTGCAACGTGTAGTTTGGACTGTTGAAGAAGTACTAGTTGTTGCGCCCTCTGTTTTATTTACCACAACTTTTGCATATTTTGTTAGTCCTTGTAAATTATTGCGTGAAATAATACTTGAACAAGGTTTCATGTTGTTGCGATTAATAAATACCACTTTACCCTTATTGCCGGATTGAGTATTTGACATAATAGTACCCGGTTTACTTAACGCTAATGTGGTAACAGCAGTTGTTCCATCTTTACGCAATTGTGGGTTAATAATAAGTTGTCCAACATTTGAAGTAGGATCTAAAATTATAAGAAATCAATTATTTAATGTGTACCAGATGATAAAAAGCTTAATCATTTTTTCTAATGACTTACTTTGTTTTATAGTAGCCAATTGTGTTTTAGCTTCCACATCAGTACTTTGAACTACTGATTCTGTTAAGTTTCCGTCATTATCAGCGAAGACAATTGGCATATCTATAATATTGGAGAGATCAAGATTTCCTGTACTGGTTTCAGTAACAGTTTTGGGTGCATTTGTGGTTAACTGTAATGTTGTACCACCATTTGGAGTTTTAACAACCGTATATTTTTGGTGTGCAGCTGGTGAAGCGGCTGTTACAAATTGAGTAGTTTTACCATTTGGTGATTTTAAGGTAAATATTTGTTGTTGTCCCGTTGCTGCCGGATTAGATGTAGTTTTAATTATGCTACCAATGCTGGGATTTTGAGCTGCTGTAACAGATAATTGAGATTGACTTATTAAACCAGTTGGCTTAATGGTATAAACTTTAGATTGTGACTGCATTGGCGATCTTAATTGTATAAATTGATTCGATGGCAATACTCTTAATCTAGCCGTATTTATATTTGGTAAAACAGTACTACTGATAATATGTGGCTTTTGTGGATTGCCACCAGTTCCTGATTTAGGTTGGGCAACAATATCAAAGGAGGTCATAGCTTTCGGTCCAGTTGTATTGTTAGTATTCGTAACAAAATCACCATCATTTGTTTCAGATAGAATTGTTTGCATAGCTGCGCTCAAATCATCATTTATGGTTGAATTCGGTGAAGCTTGGCTGCTTGCCTGTTGTGTTTGCTGTGCTTGTAACTTGGAAGCTGATACAGATTTATTAACTTTTTGCCCAGGATTCAAAGCTTTCGTACGTGGTCGTCCTAATAATAAAAAAAACACAATTATAAAATTAGTGAATGAATTTGTTACATCAAAATATTATATATATTTTTATTTTACCCCTACGCTTCGGGAGCATAGGATCTGTTGTTGATTTATCTATTCTTGATTTGGCTAGTCTTGTTTTTCTTGAACGTTTTAATGATTTAACGCCTGGTTTATCCAATTTTGAGTTTTGAATTATAATTTAAGAAATTTGCGTTTGGAGAATATATGCAAAATAAACAAAAATTTGTATATATCACATTACACATATTTTTTTTTAAATCAATAAAAGATTGACTGGGTAACAATAACTGTAGACTATAGTCATAATATATATTGAAATATAATATAGTAAAAATTTATATTGAAATATAATATAGTCAAAATATATATTAAAATATAATATATTAAAATTTTATATTGAAATATAACATAGTCAAAATATATATTAAAATATAATAGTGAAAATGTATATTAAAATATAATATAGTCAAAATATATATTAATATAATATAGTCAAAATATATATTGAAATATAATAAAGTCAAAATATATATTATAATATAATATAGTCAAAATATTGGTAAAAAAAAGGAATATAATTCTTACAAATAATTTAAAAAGTTGTATATAATTTAAATAAATCATCAATTAGCCTGTTCAAAAATATCTAAATAAAATTTGCTCATTAAAACAATAAATTATATTAAATGCAACAAAATAGGTTGTGAGAGAGTGATTAGAATACTGACTTAATCCATTATTAAATAGTTTTTAATAACTATTTTTATATTGTTAATGAAACATTTTACATTAAGAAATAATTATAATTTCTGTCTATTGTAAATATGTATAGAAGGCTGAGTCTTAAATATACAACATTTGCTCATAGATGAACATTGCATCTTATTATCAGGGCTATAGCTTTATTATTATAGCTATGAATAACAATTTTAATGTAAAGATTAGATATTAAATTAGTAATATATTAGTCGTGGAATTGATAATTGAAGGTTTCTTGTCATTTTTCCATTTCTTAAATGGTATTTGTTATTCTATTAGTATTTGTTATACTATATAAATGTTATTGTATAGTAGTTAGTATGGTATATTATACAATATATTATTGCACTACTATTGTATATAAATATATGAATTGCAATATCTTTTATCTAATTTAATTCTATTATTTCATAGTCGTATATTTACCATATTTTGTTTTTAATTGCGCTAATTTTTCATCATCATCAATTGGTTCTGCTTTTCGCTTACGTTGTCCTGTATTTACTTTTGTACCAGAATTCTCTCCATTTGAAACTTTTCCCTTTAACGTAGTGGCAATACCAATTGGTGTTGGTTGACGTGGACCAGGACGATTATTTAAAGTTTTATTAACAAAATCGTACATTTCTTTCTGTAAATCATATTATATCAACATTAAACAAATACATTTTTTTTTATTAATTTTATATACTTACTACAATCATTGAGTCTACTGTAGCTTGTGTAACATTTTCAATTTTACGACGTATTTTAGGCACACGCAATGAATCATCAGCACTACCAACGACTACTACAGCAGATTCAGATTGCAATTTTTCACGTAAATGTTCCATCTCCTCAGTGCTGCAAATGTTTATATTAGGATTAAATGTCTAATCTTTTGAAAATTATAAGTATATTATTATATAAAAACTTTACTTATTAAATAAATAACATATTATAATTTAATATATTACCTTGTTTTGGCGGAATTTTGTCCAATTACAAAAAGTATTGGAACTTTTATATCTAAAATGCGATCATCAGGCATACCGCGTACACCATTCAATGTATGAAAGGCAAAGCCCATACATATAACACATGCAATATTCTCAGACATTGCTACCTGCAAGGCAAGAGCTGAACCA